GAGGGGAGAAGGGAGAAGGAGGAGGAGAAGGGAGAAGGAAAAAGGAGAAGAAGGGATAAGGAACGAAGAGGAAGCGGGGGAGAAGGGAGGAAGAGGGGGAGAAAGGACAAGAAGGAATAGGGAGAGAAGGATCTCCTGCTTCAACAGGGAGTCAGACTAGAAGACCTCCAAGGTCCCTTCCACACCCTGCAAACCCCTTCCAAAGTCCTTCGTTCAAGGGGAGGGCTTCCTTACCTTCACTTCCTTCTCGATGTAGTCATTCAACAGGACGTCCGGCTCAAAGCGATCCGGTAAGGCCAACGGGACCGTGTGCAGCGCCCGCCGTTCGGTGACTTTCTCCTGGGCTTTCTTGTCCCGCCCCTTCTCCCCTTTCAGGAAGACCCTCTTGAAGGGGGACACAATCCCAGGCTGCCGAATAAAGAAAGTGGGGGGGGGAAGAGAGGGTTGCCGATGTTTGAGGAAATCAAGAATGCGGGGTTTCGAACGGAATTGGGGGGGGAAGACGGGTCAGGGAGATGTTCGTGCGAGACGACGGGACAATCCCGAGTCCTTACCTCGCTTTCCATCGTTATCCTTCAAATAGTGGAACTACCTAAAAATGTCCGCCGTTGGCTGTCGCACCCGAGAGGGACCTTCGACAGCCAGATAAAAGTTGTGCATTTGCCGAAAGGGCTGACTGACAACTGTGAGAGCCGGATGCAGACAAACCACAACTTCCTTCGACGGATGAAGCTGGTGAGCGTAACTACCAGCTGTCAACAAGCAAAATATATATATATATATATATCCCCAAATACACCCGCAGCTGGAGAGGCGTGACCAGCTCACCTTTTGGGGGAGGGTTGGGGGGCTCAAACGTTTGCAAAACCCGTGTATCGTACGGGGGTCCAAAGGAGAGGACAAATGTCTCACCAAGATCACAGGGACTGACCACGGATTTAAACGTGACAGAACGAGAATCCCGACATGTTCAAAATTGTTTCTGAAGGAAGGTGTTTATGCAACACTTGCAGGCATGCCACTGTTTTAACAACACTCCATCCAACACAACACACACCAACACACTCAGAGCAGACATCGAACGAATTGCGTAGACTTCAGCCAAGCCACGAGATCGTTTTAATTTCCAACGGGGAAAGAGAAATAATCAAGAGGTGTGTGGAAAGGTCAACAACACGGTGAGTCTTCAACTTACGAGTCAACTGAGCCCAACATTGAAGTCACTAAGTAAGACATTCATTAAGTGAGCTTGGGCGCTTTTTACTCCTTTTTTGGCCATGGTTCTTAAAAGAGAATCCCTGCAGTTGTTAAGTTAGCTGACATGGTTGTGAAGCGAATCTGTATTTCCCTGTGGATTTTACTTGTAGGAAAGTTAAAAATGTAATGGGACACTTGGCGACTGACTCGTATTTATGATGGTCACAGCGTCTCAAGGTCAAGTGGATCCTCTTTTGCAACATTTAGAGAAGCAAAGTCAAACTCAGGGGGAAGGCCATCTGAGCTGGCTGGGGGATTCTGGGAGTTGAAGTCCAGGAAATGCTGGCTGGGGGATTCTGGGAGTTGAAGTCGGGGGGGAGGGGCTCCATTGCAGTCGTAAGATGAGGGTTACCTGTTATTTTGGGAGAGGCGCAGCCAAATTTGGAAACTTCGACACATCAAGAAAAAGACAAGCAAGAATTCCTCGCTTGAAGACAAGAAGAGGTCAGCTGAATGGCTGTCTGTCCATCCCACGTTTAATTTTTTTTTTAAAAAGACACTGTCTACGGTCCAGAGACCAACGGACATGCAGAACGAAGAAAGGTTTTCAAGCAAAGATTTTAAATTTCTCCAGGCGGAGGGAGGGAGGGAAAGAGGCTCAGCCCCACTTTACAACGCCTGAAGGCCACATAATCTCCTGGCCTGAAGAGGCACCAAGAGCAGGCGGACTTCCTCAAGGAGAATGGCAACTTCGAATGACGTTCAACGCTTCCACAGACAGAGGTTGCATTCGCATATAGAAGGCAGGGGGTTCAAAGAGAGGAGGAGGAGGAGGAGGGGGAGGACGGATGGACGGACTGTGGGGTCCTTGGTGCTCTCTGAGCTGTGGTTTTCTTGCAAACGTCTCATGACCCAACTGGGGAACGTCATCAATGCTAGAAGGGAAGGAGTTTGCAGGGAGGAGGAGAGGAGAGGGAGAGAAGGAGAAGGGGAGAGAGGGGAAAAGAAGAAAGGAAAGGAAAGGAAGAAGGAAACAGAAGAAAAGAAAAAAGGAGAGAAAGAAAGAAGAGGAGGAGGAGGAAGGACTGGGAGGGGGATCCTTGGTGCTCTCTTGGGGGTTTCCTTGCAGATGTTTCATAACCCAACTAAGGAATGGCATCAGTGCTAGAAGGAAGTGGGGTTTATGGAGAGGAGGAGGAGGAGGAGGAGGAGGAGGAGGAGGAGGAGGAGGAGGAGGAGGAAATAGACAAAGAGGAAGAAGGAGAAGGCAGAGGAGAGGAGGTTATCAAAACGATGCCTCCTTTAGCCACAGAAATGTCAGGCTCCACTGCGGTCATTAATTCGAGGATTCCCTGGAACAGAAAGGACAGTGAGCTAAAACATTGGAAATTATATATATTCTGTCTTCTTCGTTGAAAATCCAGTTATTTGTGATCCACAGGCCAACACAAAAAAAACCTACACAACCCCCAACGTCGCAAAGGACAACTTCAATGCCGCAAGGGACGCTTGACCGAAAAATGAAAATCCAAAAATAAAAAAAATGAATGAGGGCTCGGCAATCGGGAAGTGTCCCAGGGGCTCATTTGAAAATCAAGGCCAAATTGAAAGACAAATTCTATCCGGAGAAGTTTCTGGGATCAGATGACCTACAAGATCCTGTCCGAATCTGTAAATCTGATTTATGTTGAGAAACATTTGTGTGTGTGTGTGTGTGTGTGTGTGTGTGTGTGTGTGTGTGTAGGGGTGAATGTTGAATTTTGGTGAATTTGTCTTGTTGGTGAATTTTGTATTTTGGGGGAATTTGGGGGGAGTAAATTTGAATTTGGGGGAATTTTAGGGGTGGGTGTGAACTTTTTATTTTAGTGAATATTTTGGGGGGCAAAATTTGAAGTTTTGCGCAATTCCTCCCCGATCACTGTCATACATATATTAAAAAACATTGCCAGGATCCCCTTTGCAAATTTTCACTTCGAATAAGCCGAGCGTCAAAATGTCCTAGGAAAGGCAAATGTGTTGCTTTATTTGTGGGTCCACCACAATAGACTGACAGGAAGCTTGAAGAAGCTATCTGCCTGCCTGTCTATATCTATCCATTCATCTATCGTTTCTATCCCTAACCTATATATCCATATCTATCCATATTCCTCTATCCAGCCAGCCAGCCATCTATAAAATCTACACCTACCTATGTCTCTCTAATCTAGATCTATCATCTATCTAATCTATCTCTAATCTAGCCATCTCTAATCTATACCTATCTCTCTCTATAGAGCTATCTCTAATCTATAATCAATCTATCTCTCTAATCCACATCTATTTAATCTATCACTAATCCATGCATCTCTATCTATCCATCTCTATCTATCTAGCTCTAATCTATATTGATCCATCCATCTCTTTCTCTTCTTTCTCTTCTAGTTTTTGAAAGAAGACACTACAATATTTTAGATTTTCTGAGGTTGAGATCGGTCTAGTTCTGAGTTATTTCTCAAAATAATAGAAATAAACATATTCTAGACTTTCCAACCACAACAGATGCTTCCCAAAAATGACCGTACCAGCATCATGTCAATCAACGTCCAATGCCCGGCAACCGACTCAAAGTTACAACGGTTGCAACATCCCGCAATCTCTTTTTCTGCGACCTTCTGAAGGGCAAAGTCCATGGAGGAAGAGCTTGATTCACTTACTAACTTTAACAGTGGCATGGATTTGCCGAACCCGTGTGGGAGGAAAAGTCGTAAAGCAGGGTAAGGTTCACTTAACGATGGTCTCGATTGGCCACAGAAGTGGGAGCCAAGCCCCTGCGGCACAAAGCAGAGCCCACTCCCAAAATAAACCCTACCCGGAGGCCAGCAGAAGAGGGGGGGGCGCAGAATGAGAATGAGAGAGACAGAGAAGAGAATGAGACAGCAGAAGAAAGAAAGAAAAAGAGGAAGAGAGAGGGAGAAAGAGAGAGAGAGAGAAAGTCAAAGAAACAGAATGAGAGAAACAGGGAGAGAGAATGAAAGAATGAGGGAGAAAAACAGAGATAAAGAGGGAAAGAGACAAAAAGAACGAATGAGACAACAAGGGGGAGAGAGAAATAAAGAAACAGAAGGAGAGAGTGAGGGAGTGAGAAAGAAAGAGAACTCTCTAGTGGATCACCATTTGGGGTGATGGGCTCTGTAGTCCAAAGCCAGTGAGGATTGACTCAATCACAATTTGGGCGGATGGGCTCTGTTGTCCGAAGTCGTTGTGGATAGACTCTCTACCTAGCGGATCACCATTTGGGAGGATGGGCTCCATAGTCCAAAGCCATTCTAGTCTCGTGGATCGCCCTTTTGGAAGATGGGCTCTGTAGTCCAAAGTCTTTGAGAATAGGCTCTCTAGCTAGAGGATCACAATTTGGGAAGATGGGCTCTGTAGTCCAAAGCCATTGACGACAGACTCTCTAGTCGAGTGGATCGCCCTTTTGAAAGATGGGCTCTGTAGTCCGAAGACACCGCCTTCGGGGGGGGGTGTTCTTCCCCCTCCACTCCCGACAAATAAGCCCCTCCCCCATGAACAAGCCCCTCCCCTTCGCCCAGAAGCCACGCCCCTCTCACCTTTTTGCCCCTCTTGCCTTCCTCCTCCATGTCTCAGGTGGGGCCCGGAGGCATCTTCCCCGCCGGGCTCCCCTCGGCTTTCACTGCCCCGCCATCGCCGCCTTTGGGGGGATCCCCAGAGGCTTCAAGCCGAGAGCGAGAAAGCTCCGCCGCCGCTCCGGCTCCAACTTTTCAATCCTACCGCCATCTTGGGCGTCGGCGGCGTTTCCCGGCGTGCCCCGCGCGCGCCCCTTCCCTTCCCTTCTCTCTCCTTCACATTCGGCATGGGGAGGACTGACGTCAGTCCTCCCCGGAGGAGACGAGAGGAAGGCGGAACCGGCTTGGTCGGACGCCCCGAGGAGCATGAACGGAAGACTTAATCACGACCAGGCGAAAATAGACCGATGAAAATAAGAGAAAGGTTCCGGTGTAGTATAGAAATATATTCTAAAGATATAGATCTATGAAATAATAGAAAGGTTCCGGAATAGTATAAACATTATTAAAGGAGAATTCAAGGATCTTCAAACTTGGCAAGTTTAAGACTTGTGGACTTCAACTCCCAGAATTTCTGAGCTAACATGATGCATCCGAACACATAGAGCTATGAAACAATAGAAAAGTTCCAAGACTATAAATATTTATCCGATACATAGATCTATGAATTAATAGAAAGATTCCGGGTAGCATAACATTCAACCGACGATAGATCTATGAAATTTTAGAAAACATCCGGTGGCATAGACCTCTTTATTCAACAACAGGAATTAAATCTATAGTAGCTCCTCAGAGGACATTAATATTTAGAGTTATAGCAAATAATATAATAAGGAAAATGACTTTGCTAAAATTATTGTTGTGTTGCTACTGTTATTTTTACTCTTGTTGTTTTCGGTTATTTTATTATTATCTTGTCTGTTCTCTATGAAGTGCAACTTCAGACCGGAAGTAATAAGTCCGTCCTCCCCCTCTTGGTCCCACCACTTGGAGGCCGAATCCCGATCGTGACAGGTTGGATGCCTGGTTCAATCCTCCAAGGCGGGGAAAAAAAAAAAAACTACATGCTCATTGAGGGCGCCAAGGAAACCCGGAAATGGTAAGGTTCTCTTGAACCCGCCCTCTCCAATCGTTGATTTGGTTGGACGCCTGAGTCATGCGCCTGAGGACGAGAGGGGGGGAAAAAAAACCCTATAAGGCTCCTTGGGGGTGGGGCGGGGCGTGTTGGCCTCGCCCCTTCGAGCCGTGATTGGTCAATAGACGGGACTGGTTCTAATGCGAGCGCGGGAGGAAAAGCTGGAAGCCCATTGAGCGCGAGACGGTCACGAGCGCAGAAGGGGCGGAGCGAGGGAAGGTCTCGCCGAGGGAAGAAGACATGGCGAGAGGAGGCAGGCGGAAGGCCTACAATCATGGATCCGCCTCCATCCGAAGCGAAGAAGAGCGTTGGAGGCTGCCGGCCTCGGTGCGGCCAAGCGGGTGAGTTTCTGGCGGGATCGCGGGAAGGGACTCTTGACGCCGGACTCCATAATCCGCAGCAGACCACGCGGCGCCGTTGCCCGGGCTTGGGACTTCTCTTCGGGTTTCTTGGAGCTTCTCTAGACCGAGGCGGATGGCCACGTGGCCTGGAAGAGAAAGAGAGAGACGGAGAACTCACTGAGGACTTGCGACTTCATCGTCTCGGTTAAAAAGGAAGCTTATAGGCAGAAGGTTAGGAAGCCACTCGTGGAACGGGTAGATCGGTGTCTATCTTAATCCACGGATCTTCGAACCTGGCAAGTTTGAGACTTGTGGACTTCAACTCCCAGAACTCCTGAGCTAACATGACTGGAGGAGGAGGAATTCTGGGAGTTGAAGTCCACAACTCTTAAAGCTGTCGAGTTCGAAGACCGCTGCTCTAATCCATCCATCCACATGTAATTATCTATCCATCTATACCTCTCTTATCTAATTAACCAACCATCTATTTCAGTCTAACATCCATCTATATCCCTGTCTAATCTACCAATTTACCTAATCCATCGGTTGATTTATATTATCTATTCAACTATATCTATCCATATCTGTATCTAATCTATTGCACCCAATATCTCTTATCTATCATTTACCTAATCTATTCATCCATTCATCTATATTATCTATCCATCTATATATGTATACCGTCCAATACCTTATCTATTATCTAATCTTACCCATACATCATCTATCCTTATCTAATGTATTCATTCATCTACCCTGTTTCTCACAAAATAAGGCCGGGCCTTATTTTTTTTTATTTTTTTTTTTTTGACCCCTGAAAAACCGGCTAGGCCGTCTTTTGGGGGGTGACTTAATTTCCCCCCCACCCCTGCATCCTCGGGTGGGCAGGCAGCAACAGCTTGGATGTTCGGGAGAACTTCTGCCACCGTTGCTTTCCCTTCTCCCTTGCTGCCGCGGCCTTAAAGCAACGCTGTGGCACTTGGCACAGCCACGTGCGGCCAGCCAGGGCTCCTCCCTGCAACCGGAGCCCTGCGGAAACACTTGGTTTCAGGCGCTCCTGTTGCCGCCTTCCCTTTGCCTTCGAAGGTAAAGCCAATTATTTTTAAAAACGACACCTTACTACAACAAAGCCTCCCCTGCCCGAGAGGGCAGCCCAACCCCACGTGGGGAGGCGAATCTCCCGGGGCCGCAGCGCAGGATTGGCCCACATCAGGAGAAGCGCCCAGCCACCATCCCTGCCTGGCGCCGGGCAGAGCGCGAAGAGTTTCACCTGGGGTGCCCAGCGCAGCTGACAGACGGGCCCTCCTTCCTGGCGGCAGAGCTCTCACCAAGGCAGCGAGTGCCTCCCCACCGGACCCTCTGCTCATCCCGCCAGGGCCGCGCCGGAGCCGTGCGGGCTGGGCAGAGCCAGGAAAATGAGCGCATGTGTTTTCCTGGCTCTGCCCAGCCCGCACAGCTCCGGCGCAGCCCTGGTGGGAAGGAGGGCCCATCTGTCAGCTGTGCTGGGTGCCCCAGGTGAAGCTCTTCGCCCTCTGCCCAGCGCCAGGCAGGGATGGTGGCTTTGGCTTTGTTGTAGTACGGTGTCATTTTTTAAAATAATTGGCTTTACCTTCGAAGGCAAAGGGCAGGCGGCGACAGGAGCGCCTGAAGCCAAGTGTCTCCGCAGGGCTCTGGTTGCAGGGAGGAGCCCTGACTGGCCGCACGTGGCTGCGCCAAACACCATGGCGTTGCTGTAACACCGCGGCAGCAAGGGAGAAGGAAAAGGAACGGCGGCGGAAGGTCTCCCGATATGAAGTGACCCACCAACACAGGCCGTACCATATCCGGGCATGCAATAAAAGTACTTCCTAACGGCAAGCCCCCCCCACATTCCCCCCTCCATTTTGCATGTTTAATATGGGCCTTAATTTGAGGGGAGGGGCTTAATTTGGTTTTATGCCAATAAAACATGGTGGGGCTTCCTATTGGTGGAGGCCGTTTTGGAGAAACATGGTATATTATCTGTATATCTAATCTATCTATCGCACTCGATATCTATCTTACCTATCTCTTTTATAATCGATTCATCCATCTATCAATTTCTGTTTTATGTAATCCATCCATCTGTGTCTCCATCCATATCTGTATCTGTTCTATATTCATCATCTCTCTATATATTTTATTTAATATTTGCATTTAATCTATTGATATAGAGATACGTGTAGATACAAATATATTTTCCTCCTCCTCATATCTTTTATCTTCTATGTATACAAAAGCGAAATACCACCCACGCATCATCATAAAATCTCCAGAACCGTCAAGCCTACAAACTTGAAATTTGAAAGGATTTTTCGAAATGATCATCGGATCATTAGTATTTCCTTAGTATTTCTTCTACAGCAATTAACACGCTCTGATGCTAAGGAGTTCGACTCCCCCTCCCCACCTGAAAAGAAATCTGTCCCAAATGCAAAACACAAGCAGAGGAGAAGAGTTTCAGTTTCACAGCAGCCGCAAGCAGCTTTAGTACAGAATAGTTGAGCTAAGCCACGCCCAGGCTCCTTGCTGTCTCCTTGCTCACACAGCAAATATTACATCAGTTTCCAAACAGCCCTCAATTCTCTCACACACTGACAGGGCGCTAGCCAGATGAATACCAATGGATGCTGGTAGGCAAAGGCAGAATTTTATTTTCCTCCCCAAAAACTAAGCCCGACCACATAGTTTCGTAGCAAAACACAGGTATCCAGCTAGTATATGGATATTTCTATACACCTATTGATAGATATTACCGGTAGATATTATGCATACTGATAGATATTATGCATGCGTGCATGCACACATACATGTCATATCCATTGGTATCTATCATGCACATTTTACATCCGTTTATGCACATACGTAGACAGCGCATAGTGTGGTAATGTTGTGTTCTTTTTCCCATTTGTGTACAGGGACCCCTTGGCTTCACCAAACACCATTGGTACCCGAATTTATGTCGCCGAGCCCATCGGTCACTTAAATGAGCCGCACCTAATTTTTGACCTAGATGATGTTAAGTGAATCGTGCGAACCCAGCTTTGTCTATTGGAAGGTCGTAAACGGGGATTGCGGGATGCCGTAACAGTTTTGCTGAGCCCTCGAATTTGGACTACGGGGACGCCACACGACCGTTGTAAGTGCGAGGAACTCCTCACAAGCCGCTTGGCTCCAGGGCCTTTCTAACTTCCAATGGACGCTAAATGAATGTTAAAGTCAAAGAGTAGCTGTAATTTTACCTGAACTGGTTCTTTTCGGGGGGGGGGGGGAGCTTTTAGAACAAACTTGACAATAATGCCGCAAATTATGCCGCCGCAGGGTGTGCATTGCAAACCACAACCCTTGGCGAACAAAATTCGCATTTGTGGGTCTTTCTCTGCCTTTTTCTCGGGTTGTCTTCCTTAATGTTTGGGACAATTGGATTTTTCTAAGAGTTGCTGCACTGGGGAGTAGGATTCGCATCCGCGTTGGAAGCTGTCGCAACAACGCAAACCTTCCAGCGTGACTGGGTCTTGCCGATGACCCTGATCATTCCTGTTGCGTTTGCAAAAACAACCCCGGGACGGTTTGAGGCCTCCCCCTGTCCTCTTTCAGGGAGAGGTTATAGAAATCCCGGACAAGAGATAGTCCTCGCCTTACGACTGAATTCCTGTCGCTAAGCGAGACACGATTCCTCCCATCCTTTTTTGTGACTGTTCCTGCTGCGGTCACTAAGCGAATCCATGAAGTTGTAAGAAGTTAGGCTTTGCCATTAACTCAGGTGACACTTCCCCCCCAAGGATACAGGGACTGTCGTAAATATGAGTCAGTTGCCAAGTGTCTGGGTTTGGATCAGATGACCCTGGGAAACTGACCGTCGTAAATACGAGCCACTTGCTGCAGTGGTTGTGCGGAAAATGGTCGCAAGCCCAGTTTTGCGTTGCCGTTGCAGCAGCTGATTTGTTTTTATGATGGTCACTAAACGAGGACTAATGTCATTCACCCCAGAATTATTTCTTCCTTATAACTGGAGTTCTCTCTCTCCCGTCTAGGAGAATCTAACCGTCTCTCGTCACCATGGTGCTTGTCCCGTTGGAGGTGACGAAGAGGATACCAATTACCATCATCCCTGGCCCTTCTAGTCCTTCCTCAGGTAAGGCCCAGTGGGATTGGGGGGCTGGGGGTTCGAAAACATTGATCCCTAATTTTGCCCAACATTTTAAATTGACCTTATTGGGTAGTCCCTGACTTACAACCTACGTGGAGCCTGGAATTATGCTCGCAAGCGGGGTTGGGGGAGTGATGTGCTACCGGTTCACCCTGGTTTGACCGAACCGGTTGCTGGTTTTATGGCCAGTCCGGCGAACTGGTAAATCTCACCCTTGGCTGGCCCCGCCCATCCCAGGTAAGTACCTGGCCTTCAGGGAGGTCAAAAAACAGTCCCACCCCTGGTCGTAAGTCGAGGCATCATGTCACCAGATCTGATCTTTCTCTTCTTTTTTTTTTGTAGGCGACCATCGTGGCGCAAAAAATATGTCAGAACAGTCTTGATTTTTTTTCCTCGTAGGCAGCTCGTTTTTCTAAACGTACTTTCTATGCACATGTGGAGGCAGCCTTCAAATTGGGCTAAATACCTGTACGCTGTATTTACATAAATAACACAGGCATAGGATACAGGTGGGTCTCGGTTTACATCAATAAACATCCGTAGAGTATCCGCAATTTGCAGTCTAGCGACTGCTGGACCTTACAACGGGCCCTGGTGGGCGGTGGGACGACATGGCAACGATCTTGGCTGTAAGGGCCACTCGCTCAGCGTCGTTGGGAATTGGCTTTCTCTGAAGTTGCGTTTGTCACTTGAGGATGGTTAGGTTGGACAAGCCAGCTTTCACGGTTTGGCTCTGTATGTCACCCGTGATCGCAGGCAAAACGTTTTGCTCCTGCTTAGTAAACCTTAGGTAAGTGTTTTGTCGGACGGCAGGCAGGTGGGTGGACTCCAACTCCCAGAATCCCCCAGCCGGCATGCTGTAAGAGGGGAGGACCTCAACCAGACATGCCTTTCTCGGGCTCAAGTCCGCCTTCTCTAATTTTATTTTTGCTTGGAAACAGGAACATGACAAACCCTGAAAACATGTACAAAAACGTCGCTTCCTTCCGTTTGCACAGATGTTTTGACCATGTTTCACGACAGAAGTGAAACTTTCCGGACCCAAAATAATAATACGGAAGGGGTAGGGGAAATCTCGCCTGGTAGATAGTTTTAAAAGTGAAGGTTTTTATATATATATATATATGCACGTGCACACACGCACACACAGGTACAAATATATATAATATATAGTTAATCATATTTGTGTTAAATTGTCCTTGAATAATTTGGTGTACGATGGGGGGAAAGTGACGATGCGTCATTAGGACTGGAAACCACAATCGGTGTAGCGGGTGAAATCTTGGCCTAGAAACGGGGAGTTCCGGCCCCTCCTTAGGGATGAAAGCCAGACTTTGGGGTGGGGGCTTTAGGCCAGAGCCCAGCCTACCTGGCAGGATTGTTGTGGGGAAAAGGGCGGAGGCTTACTGCATACCTTCCTCATCTTGAGTAAAAGGCAGAGCTCCGCATAGTAAAGGCAGAGTTAAAAACAGACGCGAATAAACGTGGATTTACACGTTCCTCGCTCTCGTCCCCTAGGACTCTCGGGCTGGGGGCCTCGGTGCCCATCATCCACACCCGTGCCTCTCGCCCGAAGAGGAAGCAAGTCCGTGGCCGTCGCGCCCACTGGCCTCCGTTCTGAGTCACTTGCAGGAGGCCGTCGAGAGGGAGGAAGTTTGCGGTCATCCGACAACGGAAGGTTTCTTGGGGAAAAAAAAAAAGAAAGGATGATGAAGACCATGCTTCCCTTCCGGCCCCCTGGAGGTTGGGGGGCGGGTAGGATGGGTTTTGCTGCTCCTTCAAGCGGGGGCTTTCTGGAAGGAGGTGAAAGTCACTGGGTGCCTCTCCCTTTCTCCCCCACCAAACAGGATGGCAGAATAAAGCTGGAAGGGACCTTGCAGGTCATCTAGTCCAACCCCCTGCTCGACCGGGAGAGCCTTTAAAGTATAGCACAGTTGGAAAGGGATCTGAGAGGTTATCCAGTCCATCCCCCACTCAAGCAGGAGACCCTTACGGTGTCACACGCTTACCAGAGGTGGAAGGGACCTTGGAGGCCATCTAGTCCAACCCCGCTGCTCAGACAGGAGACTGTTGCAGAGTCACACAAGTTGGGAGGGACCTTAGAGGTCATCTAGTCTAACCCCCACTCGAGCAGGAGACCCTTACAGAATCACATTAACAGAGATGGAGGTCATCTAGTCCAACTCCCCCCCCCCCAAAAAAAAAAACTCAGGAGACCCTGATAGCAAGGGACCTGGGAGGTCATTTAGTCCAACCCCTGCTCATGCTGGAGGCCCTGGACCGTTTCTGGCAGGGACCATTTTCTGAAGAATAAATGATTCCCCGCCTGAGCCTGCACTGCCTGCCTTCCCTTCCCAGGATCGGCAAAAAGAACCAACCGGCTAGTCCTCAGTTTTACGACCATGCCGTAGCTCCAAAATTTTCGCAGCTCGGTTAGACTTGAGTTTTGGTCCATTTTGCGACCTTCCCGTTAAGTGAACCACCGCTGTTCAGCGAGTCACCTGGTGGCTAAGCGAATCCAGCTTCCTGCCCGTTGAGCCGGTCGCAAAAGGGGATCGCAGTGACCATCATAAATTGGGAGTCGTTGGCCAAGTCTCTGAATTTGTGGATGCTGCAACCGTCGTAAGAGTGAAAAAACGGTCAACTCACTTTTTGAGCGCCCTTGTAACTTGTTCAGAGATAATCCTCGACTTAATGATTCCTTGATGGGGCCAAATCCGGCATCCCATCATTTCACTCTGGATTGTAAATAGAAGTTGTCCTTCTCTTAACAATTGAAGCTATAACGGAACCGGAAGAAAGACGTAGAGGTCGTCTAGTCCAGCCCCCTGCTCAAGCAAGAGGCCCTTACAGAATCATACTAGCAGAGGGGCGCAGGACCCTGGAGGCCATCTAGTCCAACCCACCCACTCCAAAAAGGAGACCCTTACAGATTCATAGAATAATGCAAGGGACCACCTCGGAGGTCATCTAGTCCAACCCCCTGCTCAAGCAGGTGGCCCTTAGAGAAAAACACAGTTGGAAGGGGCCTCGGAGGTCATCTAGTCCAACCCCCTGCAGGAGGCCCTTACAGAACCATAACGGGATTAGAAGGGATCTTAGAGGTCATCTCCAGCCCCAAGTGTTTGGAACATCTTGGTAATCTGTCCAGTAACCAACTCCAGAAGGATTTGTTTAATTTAGAAGTTAATTTCTTTGTGTTGGGGGGTTCGGTTATTTCCAGTTGTGCATCTGGGGGTGCTTCAGTCGGTTGAGGCTCCCCCTTCAAAGCCTCCGTACCCCGTGTGTTCCGGCTGCCGGTTAGCTCCCCTCCCGGAGCCTGAGAAAGGAAATGACATTGGCCCCACTGCAAAAGCCAAACCTCACAAGTTGTGGCAAAACACTCGGGAGGAAGAGGGGCGGGGCTTGTCTTTGAGGCCCAGGCTCAGAGTTGGAGGTCTGGAAATAAACTGGATGCCCGTCAAAGACAAGATTTATAACCCGGGGTAGAACTGGGCGGGGGGGGGGCTTCTCTGAGCTGGGAGGGGCCTGTCAACTAAATTATTTCAATGGTCTTTTTAGAGCTGCCAACAGAAAGGAAGGTGGGGGGGGAGTGTTTGGAAGAGCAGTGTGGCAGCTTGGAAACCGAAAGTGCATTCCATGAGTAGTTTTTTTTTCAGAGATAGTAACTAGGTGACTGAAGACTCTGCCGCGCAAAATTCTAATTGGAGCAATATGATTGATGACTCTGGGCTATGGACTTGTCCCATTGGAGAATATGAATTACGATATACCCATGAGGTGGGGGAAACCAGGGCCAATGGTGACAAGGAACGATGTGCCTCGGAGTTGGCTATACCCAGGCGCTGCCAGACATGTAAACTCCCAATAAAGCCTTTTGAAGTTTGGCTCAAGATTCATGATTTCATTGGGGTAACCGCCGGAAACCTGACAGGGTGTTTTTTTTGCAGACGTCTTGTGACCCAAGTAGGGAACATCAGTGCTGGAAGGGAATGTGGACTCTAGAAAGGAGGAGGAGGAGGAGATTACTGTCATGTCCTTGGGGCTCTCTGAGCTGGGTGGTTTCCTTGCAGACGTCTCATGACCCAACTAGGGAACCGCATCAATGATCCTATGGAAAGGAGCGCAGAAAGGAGGAGGAAGTGGAGATGCTGCACAACAACACCCCAAGATTACACAAATGCCAAACTTGGGGGGGGGGGGGTTGTGTGTTTGTGTGGAAGTGGTTGTGAGGGAAAGATGTGCTCTCTTAAGACCTGCCAACAATGGAGGAAGCGATGGAGTCTGTTCTTATTGGGTTGTGGTAGGATGCCGCACCCTCCTACTACAGTGCGGGAAACCTGGTTGTGGGTTCCGTCTCATGGCGTTGAGCTTCCTGTCCCACCTGACTTAAGTTCCTCCATCTTGAAGCCACGATGCAGAGGAAGCCAAGGAGACATTTCAGATGGGTGTCTGGGTTCCGATGGACGCCCTAATTAATTCATGAGCCTCGAGCCAAGTTTAGAAAGAAATGCAATTATTTATTAGGAGCAACATGTCGAAGCACTTTCCCTGGCTGTAGTAGAAAGCACACCTCTCCCGCTGGCTCTAGGAATCTGGGATACAATCTGGAGAAAGGTAGGCGTGGAACGTGCGTCTTCCATCAGTTCACCACCACCACCCTGCCTATGGCAACTCAAGAGCAGGCTAGGAATGCTTTATGAGTTGACTGGGACTTTCCATCTTTCGGACTTGACGTCCATCGTTCAAGGAAAAATCTTTTCATCCAACTTCCAAATTTACAATGGGTGGAAACAGGCCATAGTTGAGGTCTGGAGCAAATCAGAAGCGACTGAGCCACGGAAGTCACATTCCTGGACCTCTTCATAGCTTCACTGTCTCTGGAGGACATGAGATGCCTTCTCTGGTGGCCTTCTCTGAAGTTCTCCAACTTCTCTAGGGTTTAGGTTCTCTGCGGAGGATTTTGGGACCCTCTCGTCCAGAAAGATCCATCCATCCTGTAAGATCTATTCTGTTGAGGACATTAGATCTTATAAGATTCATTCTCTGGAGGACATTCTCTGGTGGTCTCCTGTCAGGTTCTCAAAGTTCTCCAGAGTTTAGGTTGTCTATGGAGACTTGGAGACTTCTTCTCCAGATGGGTCTATCCATCCATCCTATGAGACGCATTCTCTGGAGGACATTAGATGCCTTCTTTGATGGTCTCCTATGAAGTTCTCCAGGGTTTAGGGTTTAAGTTTCCCATGGAGGACTTTGGAGGACTTTGGAGGACCATGGAGTCCTCCTCCTCCAGGAGAATCCATCCATCCTATAAGATGCATTCTCTGGAGGACATTAGATACCTTCTCTGGTTGTCTCCTAAAGAAGTATTCCAGTGGTAGGGTTTTGCTTTTCCATGTTAGACTCCGGGACCACCTCCAGGAGAATCCATCCTATTAAGGTCCACCCAATGAGAAACAACGATCGAGGAAGTAGACCTTCCACAAAGCACTTATCTGTGCTTAACCACAAGCTCCACCTTCCTCCACTCAACGGAAATCACCCATCTTGACTCACCCTTCTTTCCACCCTGACGAGCAAGGACGGTTGTCAGTCCCGGTAAGCAGACGCACTTCTTCGGGAACATGGCAGAGCAAGAGAGCCTCGAATTTGGGAAAGCGGACTTTGTCCTCTTGGACGAGGTGACCATGGAGGACTTCCTGGAGAACCTGAAACTCAGGTAAGGTTCGGAAGGGGGAAAGGAAAGGATGGGTCTTATTTCCAAGAAGGAGTCAAGATCATCTGAGGGATTCAAAACATCCAAGTCGATGTTTCTGGACTTCCATAGCCTTGCTGGAGATCTTGCTCGTTTGATGGACCCCGAACGGAGGTCCATCTTCTTGTTCTTCACAACCTGAGGACTGGCAGAGCCTTTAGGCTGAAGAAGTGCCGTCCACGGAAGAGAGGAAGTCCACCCTTCCATCAGACTGAAGCTCCTGGGCAGCCCCGAGGTTCAAGAATGAAACTGGAAGCCAGTTTGGTCTGGTGGCTAAGAAACTGGCGGCGATGAGTTCTAGTCCTACCTTAGGCAGGAAAGCCTAACTGGGTGACTTGGGGCCAATAACTGGCAGGTTGTGAGTTCTAGTTCCACCTTAGGGATCACAACCATCCGGGTGACTCCGAGCCAATCACCAGGCGACAGTGAGTTCTAGTCCCGCCTTAAGCAAGAAATCATAACTGGGTGACTTTGGGTCTATCATCAGGTGATGAATTCTAGTCCTGCCTTAAGGATGAAAGCTGGCTGAGTGACTTTTGATTCAATCACTAGCCGACAGTGAGTTCTAGTCCTGCCTTAGGCATGAAAAACAGCTGGGTGACTTTGGACCAATCACCAGGAGACGGGGAGTTCTAGTCCTGCTTTAGGCATGAAAGCTGGATTCCAATTCCCAGAATCCCCCAGCCAGCAGAGTTGAAAATGAGTGGATTACAACTCCCAAGAATCCTCCAGCCGGCATACTTTAACAGGAAGGACTTCAACTCCCAGAATCCCCCATCCGGCATCCTTAAAGAGGGGAAGATGTCTTCAACTCCCATAATTCCCCAGCCACCATGCTTTAAGACAGGAGGACTACAACACCCAAAATCACCCAACCAGCATGCTTTAAGAGGAAGGACTTCAACTCCCATAATCCCCCAGCCAGCCACGCTTCAACATCTCTGGACTTCGTGCAGGCAGAGGAATTCTGGGAATTGAAGTCCTCCCTTCATAATTTAGTTGCTGTACGGCGACTAAACTAACATCGTGTCAACCCTTTTTCCAACCAACCGGGTTTATTCTGGGCGTGGGGGGGGGGGGAGGCTTGTGAAGCGACACGTCGGTGAGGGGGGGGGGGGGGGGGGGGGAGCTGTGTGGTTCGTGTCGGAGGAAGCAAAAGGCCTGAAATGACTCAAAGTTGCAGCTCATTTTGAAAGCAGGAAAGGCGTCATTTGGAGCCCAGCTGTCCTTCCTTCTCGTTTCCATCACTTTTTAAATTTGGGCAGTGATGGTGAACCTTTTAGAGACCGAGTGCCCAAAACTGCAACCCAAAAGCCACTCGTTTTTGTTTGTTTGTTCGTTTAATTATTTATTTAACTATTTAATTTATTTATTTATTTAACTATTATTATTTATGTATGCCCACATGGCAATTCAACCTGAATAATGAGGTTTTACTACCTAAAATAATGGTTAAACAAGGCCGTGTTCAGCTAACGGTTCCAAAAACAAAACATGAAAAACGCATTTTTTGTGCCCCTTAGGGGTTTTTTTTTTCTTCTGCTTTTGAAATATTACGTTTAGCAACAATAACAAAAACTTTTGTAACATCATTTCTCTCTCCCCGTCTCTCTCTCTCTGTTTCTCTCTGTCTCTCTCTGTTTGTGTGCGTCTGTCTCCCTTTTTCTCTCTCTTTTCCTCCCTCTCTCTGTCTCTCTTTCCCTCCCTCCCTCTCTTTTTTTCTCTCTCTTTCCCTCCCTCTCTCTCTTTCTCTTTCTCTCTCTTTTTATCTCTCCCTTTCCCTGCCTCCGTCTCTTTCTCTCTCTGTCTTTTTCTCTCTCTCTCTTTTCCTCCCTCTCTTTCTCTGTCTCTCTTTTCCTCCCCCACTCTCTCTTTCTCTTATCCTCCCTCCCTCTCTTACTTTTTATCTCTCCCTTTCTCTCCCTCCCTCTCTTTCTCTCTCTCTGTGTCTCTTTCTCTCTCTGCCTCTTTCTCTCTCTCTCACCTCTGGCTGGCGAGAGTGGAGCACACAGGGCGTGCCCCTTCCCCGCGGCCACCGTGGTGATGTCACTGGCCAAGAGGGACACACGAGCTGAACGTTTAGAGCTGTGCTCGGTAGGGTTTGCAAATGGGCTCAGGAGGGCTGCTTAATGGAGAAGGAAATCCTGGCCTGTTTGGTTCACTTGAGTGTGGGGTGAAAACACAGAAGGCAGAGGAAGCCCCACGTGTCTCGGGGTTCAACCCTTAAAGACTCCTTTAGGGGTGACTGGGCAGGGCAGGCAGGGGTGGAATTCTTCTGGTTCGGACTGGTTCCATAGAACGGGTGGTTACAATTCTGTGCAATTCGGAGAATTGGCGAATCATGCCACTGGCTGGCCCTGCCCCTCCCCCCCATCCACCCCTCCCCCCCCCAGTCACCCCAAAGGAGTCTTTGAGAGGTGAACACTGGGCGGGGGGGCGGGGAGAGAAGTGGCCTGCGAGCAGAGCTGAACCTTCCTTAGGACTGAAGCTTCTATTTATCAGTGTAGACTCAGGCAGCAGATTGCAGAAAGGTAGATCTCTGAGTGAATCTGTGATTCTGCGAGCAACTCAATCTGCAGGCTTTGCCTGATTAATAAATAAAAGCTGCTTTTTTAAATAAAAAATTTAATATTTACATAAATATTTACATATAAGCTACACCCAACCAGACATGTGACCACCAAGCCATGCCCACCCAGTCACTTGACCACAAGCCACAAGCCATGAATTAGGCCACGCCCACAGAACCGGTTGTTCAGAAATTTGAACCCCGCCTGTGAGGGCAGGGTGAGGGGCAGATGGGATCACCCGACAGGCAGCCGCAGCAGACGGACGGAAGAGGCTGTGGCTTGTCGACATCCATCCTATGGCATACTGTGATGGGGCAATAGTGCGCGTGCCCACAGAGAGGGCTCCGCACGCCATCTCTGGCACCTGTGCCATAGATTCGCCACCAGAGGACGAGGGCAGTAATGGCAAACCTTTTCAGAACCTTTTCAGCAGCGAGTGCCCAAACCAGAATGCACATGCGTGCGTGCGAGCCGGAGTGCCAGAAAACTGAAGACCAGCTGGTCCGGTGCATACATGCCTGTTTTGGGGGGCATTTGGGGGGCTGTTTTTGGCCGTTTTCGAGTTGTTTTGGGCCTGAAAATGGCCCCAAAGGTCCATTTTTGGAGCATTTTTGGCCTGAAAATGGCCTGGGTTTTTTGGCTCTTTTCCATGGTGCTTTTAGGGCATTTGGGGGCCATTTTCCAAGCCTTTTTCAGGCCATTTTGGGGCCCGAGGGCAGCCTGTAAATGGCTTGAAACACCCTGGAAAATGGCCCAAGAAACAGCCAAAAAACCTTCCCCAAAACAGCCTGAAAATGCCCTGAAAATTGCCCCCCAAATGGCTCAAAAAGAGCCCAGAAAACAACCAGGAAAATGCCCTGGTTTTGGCCCAAATATGTCCCCAAAATGGCCCAAAGAACAGCCAGCTTTTGGGCTGATTTTCAGGGTGTTTTCCAGCACTCTGGCGCCTCTGAAGACAGCTAGCCAATGTACCTGAAACCAGAAGAGCAGCTGGCAATGGAGCTCATGCCGACTGAGAGGGCTCTGCGTGCCACCTCTGGCAACTGTGCCATAGATTCGCCATCACGGGGGTCTTTCCCGTATTCCCACAGGAAGAGAGGTCCCCCTCTTCTCCAAAGCAAAGAAGGAGGGATAAGATTCATATTTCTTAACAACCGGTTCTGTGGGCGTGGCCTAATTCATGGGTGTGGCTTGGTAGTCATGCCACTGGGTGGTCCTGGCTTGCTGATTGGGCATGGCTTGGAGGTCACATGACTGGTTGGGCATGGCTTGCATGTAAATATTGTAAATATTTATGTAAATATTGAAATTTTTAATTGAAAAATGAGCAATTTTTATGCAAAATCAAAGCAGGCAGGCAGATTGACTTGCTCGCAGAATCACAGATTCATTCAGAGATCTACCTTTCTGCAATCTGCTACCCGAGTCTGCACTGAAAAATAGAAGCTTCAATCCTAAGGAAGGTTCAGCTCTGCTCTCAGGCCACTTCTCCGCCCCCCCCGACCCCTGAATACCACCCCTGACCGGACCTCAGGGAAACCTCCTGAGTGGGACAGGTGGGGAGGGGAGGGGCCAGCCAGTGACGTGATTTGCCAGTTCTCTGAACAACCAGTTCTATAAAACTGGCCCGAACAGGTAGAATCCCACCTCTGATGGAAATCCATCCAGGCGAGGAGCAACTTAAAAGTAAGGAGGGATTTCCTCAGTGAGGACCATTAACCCACGGAATGCCATGGTAGTTTCTCCCTCACTCACCATGGAAAAATTGAGCAACTGTTGGTCCTGCACAAAACACCGCACCACTTGAAATATTGTCCCCTCGATGCTAGGCATGTGGCGTTCTCCTCACCCCTAAACACGGTCAACCCGTAAGCCTCCGAGATGCCTCCTTAACCGTGTCTCCCCTTTTGGCCAAACCAGGTTTGAGAAAGGACGCATCTACACCTACATCGGGGAAGTGGTGGTCTCCATCAACCCATACAAACCTCTGTCACTCTACGGGAAGGACACAATCGAGCATTACCGTGGTCGGGAACTCTACGAGAGGCCGCCTCACCTCTATGCCGTGGCTGACGCGGCCTACAAGGCCATGAAGAGACGGGCCATGGACACCTGTGTGGTCATCTCAGGTAGGGTTTCCCCCACATCTCTCTTTCTCAGTCAGAAAAAAAGGTTGTTACCCAATCGTAACAACCAGCTCAATCTGGAAAGTAGGAGGTTGGCTTGAACGGGAATTACGGAGGCGGGTTCAAGTCAAAATCGGAATGGAGCTGGAAGAGAGCTCGGAGGTCTTCTAGTCCAACTTCCTGCATTAGCAAGAGACCCTTATGGAATAACAAGAGTTGGAAGGGACCTCAGAGGTCATCTAGTCCAACCCCATGCTCGAGCAGGAAGACACAAAATAACAAGAGTTGGAAGGGACCTCAGAGGTCATCTAGTCCAACCCCCTGCACCAGCAGGAGACCATGCCTTATGGAATAACAAGAGTTGGAAGGGACTTCAGAGGTCATCTAGTCCATCCCACCTTTACCAGGTTCGTCCCACTGTATTTTGGTTGTAAGTCCTTGCACCTTTGGTTAGATTAGGTGAAACCTGGCCTAACTGCGAGATGGACCTTGGAGTCCGAGCGGATTACAACTTAAAACTTGAGCCAGCCGTATGCGACGGCAGCCGAAAAAGCTAAGACAATCCTTGGCTGTCTAAACAGAGGCATAGAAACTCACTTGAAGTATCACTACCGCTTAGTAAAGTCGCACCTGGAGTCCTGCAAAGAGGGCGGGGTCACTTATTCTCCAAAGCCCCTGAAGGCAGGAGAAGAAACCTTGGGTGGAAACTAATCAAGAAGAGGAGCAACCCAGAATGAAGGAGAAATTTCCAAACGGGGAGAACAGCCACCAGAGGTTGCGGCTGCTTCATCACGGGGGTGTTTTTAGGAAAATACTGTCTGGAATAAATAGTATAGAGTCTCCTGCTCGAGCAGGCGGTTGGACTAGATGACCTCCAAGGTCCCTTCCAACTCTTGTTGTTCTGTAAGGGCTTCCTGCTCAAGCAGGGGGTTGGACTAGATGACCTCCCAAAGTCCCTTCCAACTCTGTCCTCCTATGATTCTGCTGGGGTCTACGGCTCGAGCAGGGGGTTGGACTAGATGACCTCCCAAAGTCCCTTCCAACTCTTATGATTATGTAAGGATCTCCTGCTTGAACAGGGGGCTGGACTAGATGACCTCCAAGCTCCCTTCCAGCTGTTTTCTGATTGACTGATGGTGTGTAGACATTTCATGACCCAACTAGGGAACGTCAACTGTGCTAGAAGGAAGTGGGGTTTGTGGGGAGGAGGAGGAGGAGGAGGAGGAGAACTGGCAGGTCCTTGGTGCTCCTGGAGCTGGGTGGTTTTCTTGCAGATGTTTCATGACCCAACTAGGGAACCCTAATCAATCCTTATCAATCCTAATCATTGATAACTTTGCATAATTAGATAAAGAAACATCTGCAAGAACAGCACCCAGCTCAGAAAACACCAAGGACCCCACAGTCCGCCTCTTCCTTCCTCCCTCTCCTCCCTCTCCTTCCTTCCTTCCTTCCCTCCCTCCTTCCCTCCTTTCCTCCTTCCTTCCCTCCCTCCTTCCTTCCTTCCCTTCTCCCTCTCCTCCCTCTCCTTCCTTCTTTCCTTCCCTCCCTCCTTTCCTCCTTCCTTCCCTCCTTCCTTCCCTCCCTCCTTCCCTCCCTCCCTCCCTCCCTCCTTCCTTCCCTCCTTCCTTCCTTCCCTCCTTCCTTCCCTCCCTCCTTCCTTCCTTCCTTCCCTCCCTCCTTCCTTCCCTCCCTCCCTCCTTCCTTCCTTCCTTCCCTCCCTCCTTCCTTCCCTCCCTCCCTCCTTCCTTCC